CTTTAGGGTTTTAGGGTTTTAGGGTTTTAGGGTTTTAGGGTTTTAGGGTTTTAGGGTTTTAGGGTTTTAGGGTTTTTGAGGTTTTGGGGTTTTGGGGTTTTGGGGTTTTAGGGTTTTGGGGCTTTGGGGTTTTGGGGTTTTGGGGTTTTGGGGGTTTAGGGCTTTAGGGATCCAGGGGGGGCCTTAGGGCTTTAGGGTTCTAAAGTTTAGGCTTTAGGCTTTAGTAGGGTTTAGGGTTTAGGGTTTATGCTTCGGGTTTAGGATTTAAGGGTTTTAGGATTTAGAGGGTTAGGGGTTAGGGTTTAATTAGGGCTTTAGGGTTGAGGTTTTGGGGGGTTAGGGTTTCAGGGTTTCGAGTCTAGGTTTTGTGGGTGTGTATCAGTGTGTGTGCGCGCGCACGCGGGGAGTGTGCCTTTTCCATCGCACTCCCTGTCGCCCGACCGCGTAGCTTCGTAACCCCACCCGACCTATTCTCTTTAGGGTTTATGGCTTTCTCGGAGCACCCTAAACCCTATAAAGCCTAAACCGTAAACCCTAAACCCAAGAATCATTCTGGAAAAGCCAAGCTGCCTGCAGGTGGGTTTCAGGGGGCCCCAGAGAGTTCCAGGGGCGTGCCCAGGGGGGTGCTTCGCCACGCGCCCGGCAAAACCCTAAACCCCTAAACCCTAAACCCGAAACCCTAAACCCTAAATCCTAAAGGCTTGAGAATTTATGTGAAAAACGCCACCGGTGGTCTACGCTAGCTGAAGGGCTTTGAGGGTTTTAGGGTGGAGGGTTTACGGTATTAAGGCATGAGGGCTTAGGCTTCAAAGGTTCAGGGCTAAGGGCTAAGGGTTCAGGGTGTAGGGTTTAGGGTTTAGGGTTTAGGCCCAAGTACTAGTAGCACATCCAATGGCCGCCGGCATCATGGAGCAAAGGCTTCGAATGATTCGTGCTGTTCCTACAGTAGGGTCCACGATACGAGGATTCCTTGCAAAAGTTGCCGGAAAAGAGGTCGCCATTTGGAGCAAGCCCTGCACACAAAGCAAAATTGGAGGCGTGCAGGGCAGTTACCCTAAACCCTAAACCCTAAACCCTAAACCCTAAACCCTAAATCCTAAATCCTAAACCTTAAACCCCAAACCCTAAACCCGAAACCCCAAACCCCGAAACCCTAAACCCTGAACCCTGAACCCTAAACCCTGTTGAACATCATTGCGCATCCCCCGAAGCCCGCAACATGACCCCGTGAGCCCTGCCTTGGGGACGAAATGAGCCCTAAAATTGGGGTCATATACCCTGTACTACTATAACTCCTAGTAAGGTATGTGAACCCTAAACCCTTTTAGGGTTCATTTCGTCCCCAAGGTATAAGCAGCGTCTGCGAAGAGGTTCGGGCCACGTTCTGGCATGCCTCCCCGACTCGACCAACACCGATCCACCTCGGTCAAATGTGCCATCAGCCATTTTGCGGTTTAGGGTTTAGGGTTTAGGGTTTAGGGTTTAGGGTTTAGGGTTTAGGGTTTAGGGTTTAGGGTTTAGGGTTTAGGGTTTAGGGTTTAGGGTTTAGGGTGCCCAAAAACCCACCTTCTTAGGGGTTCCTTATGTGTCCCCTTAAAGGGTATGTTTTTTGGGGCTCCAGGTAGGGAACCGGATTTAGGGTGTCCAGCTTCTTTCTAGCATCGTCTGACGACACACGACAAAGAGGTAAGCTGTCAGCAGGTATGTCGGATCCAGGAAGTCCAGCGCAAGATCCTGGCCGGTTTAGGGTTTAGGGTTTCAGGTTGAGGGTTTAGGGTTTAGGGTGTAGGGTTTAGGGTTCATGCCGTGGGCCCATCCCAATCTCCAAGGGTAGCTACATGGTCCCAATGTATGGGCCCTCAAAAGGGGACCCCTTATATACCCCTTGTGTGCCCTATACAACCAAAAGGCCATATAAAGGGACCATGTATCTACCCTTGCACAATCGAACAGCACCTAGCTGACCAACCCTAAACCCTGTAAACCCTAAACCCTCAACCCTAAACCCTGAACCCTGAACCCTAAACCCTAAACCCTAGACCCTTAACCCTAAACCCTAAACCCTGAACCCTAAACCCTAAACCCTAAACCCTAAACCCTAGAGCGTGCCGCGTGCCTGCATTTCCCTGGGGAAGGTCGCGGAGAACATCATGGTCTGCCGGCCTTCCTCTCCCCTTAGGCGAGACCCAAGCCAGACACCACTGAACTTCGGGGTTGGGCCTTTTTGGAGTTAGGGTTTAGGGTTTAGGGTTTAGGGTTTAGGGTTTCGGGTTTAGGGTTTAGGGTTTAGGGTTCAGGGTTTAGGGTTCAGGGTTTAGGGTTTAGGGTTTAGGGTTTGGGGTTTAGGGTTTAGGGTTTAGGGTTTCGAGCTTAGGGGTTAGGGTTAACTACTTCAAGGTCCACGGGAACTTCTCAGTAGGCCTTATACAAGTACCCGCAATAAGGTCAGAACCAGACGTGCCCTTCTTCTACCTCTACTGCTAAGTACTCCTGCACCTATTCTAAGAGAGACCCATAGCCCTAAACCCTAAACCCTAAACCCTAAACCCTAAACCCTAAACCCTAAACCCTAAACCCTAAACCCTAAACCCTAAACCCTAAACCCTAAACCCTAAACCCTAACCCTAAACCCTAAACCCTAAACCCTAAACCCAAACCCTAACCCTAAACCCTAAACCCTAAACCCCCTAAACCCTAAACCCTAAACCCTAAACCCTAACCCTAAACCCCCTAAACCCTAAACCCTAAACCCTAAACCCTAAACCCTAAACCCTAAACCCTAAACCTAAACCTAAACCCTAAACCCTAAACCCTAAACCCTAAACCCTAAACCCTAAACCCTAAACCCTAAACCCTAAACCCTAAACCCTAAACCCTAAACCCAAACCCCTAAGTCGGATCAACCCACCCATGTCGCATATATCCTAAACCCCACAGTATGAACAGCGGCGTAAGTATGAGCCCGCAATCCCGAAAACCTACAAACCCTAATCCCTAAAGCCCAACAATCCCTAAAGCCTTATATAATATAAGCCTTATAGAACCTTTGTAAGAACCCTTACATAGCCCGTATGATAACCCCTATATAACCCTTATAAGAACCTTACATAACCCTTTGTAAGAACCCCTATATCTCCCTTCAACAACCCTCATATATCCCTCATGATTGTTAGAACCCTCTAGCCCTCTTTATGGGGTGTTGCTCCCACAAACCCTACTCCCTACACTCTACACCCCCCAAACCCTAAACCCTAAACCCTAAACCCTAAACCCTAAACCCTAAACCCTAAAACCCTAAAACCCTAAAACCCTACACTAAACCCTAAACCCTAAACCCTAAACCCTAAACCCTAAACCTTAAACCCTAAACCCTAAACCCTAAACCCTAAACCTAAACCCTGATAGAACCCTGATAGCACCCTGAAACCCTTCTGTATGGGGTGTTGCTTTCCCTCCAGGGAGCGCGCCCGGGCTCGGGCATGCTGTGGCCTGGCACTCGCATATGAACTTGGAGCCGGGACTTGGGTTTAGGGTCTAGGGTTTAGGGGGTTGAGGGTTTAGGGGGTAGGGGGTTTAAGGTTTAGGGTTTAGGGTTTGGGGTTTGGGGTTTGGGGTTTGGGATTTAGGGATTTAGGGATTTAGGGATTTAGGGTTTAGGGTTTAGGGTTTGGGGTTTGGGGTTTGGGGTTTGGGATTTAGGGATTTAGGGATTTAGGGATTTAGGGATTTAGGGATTTAGGGATTTAGGGATTTAGGGATTTAGGGATTTAGGGATTTAGGGAATTAGGGATTTAGGGATTTAGGGATTTAGGGATTTAGGAATTTAGGGATTTAGGGATTTAGGGATTTAGGGATTTAGGGATTTAGGGATTTAGGGATTTAGGGATTTAGGGATTTAGGGATTTAGGGATTTAGGGATTTAGGGATTTAGGGGTTTAGGGATTTAGGGATTTAAGGATTAAGAGATTTAGGGACTAGGAGCCCGGAAGTTTCCGCCGAGGCATAAACTGAAACGTTTCAGAGGCAGGGTGCTTCCGGAAAGCTAGCTTTCGGTGAAGGGTTTGGGGTTTGGGGTCGTGGAGTTCTTCCCCGACCCCCTTCTTGTCATAAGCGTACCCTGCCTACTTTCTAAGGGACACTTCGAACGACAAAAAAAGGCAGAAGGGCACCATCTGGGCTACCAAGCTTCCCTAAACCCTGAACTCCTAAACCCTAAATCCTAAACCCTAAACCCTAAACCCTAGACCCTAAACCCTAAACCCCAAACCCCAAACCCCAAACCCCAAACCCTAAACCCTAAACCCTACACAGACCCTCAAGGGTGCGGCCTTCGATGATTGAGCGGATCTGAGGCTCAAAGCCCATGTCGAGCATCCGATCGGCCTGGTACGATTACAGTACAGGGTTTAGGGTTTAGGGCTTAGGGTCTAGGATTTAGGATTTAGGGTTTAGGGTTTAGGGTTTAGGGGTTTAGGGGTTTAGGGGTTTAGGGGTCTAGGGTCCAGGGTCTAGGGTCGAGGGTCTAGGGTCTAGGGTTTAGGGTTTAGGGTTTAGGGTTTAGGGTTTAGGGTTTAGGGTTTAGGGTTTAGGGTTTAGGGTTTAGGGTTTAGGGTTTAGGGTTTAGGGTTTAGGGTTTAGGGTTTAGGGTTTAGGGTTTAGGGTTTAGGGTTTAAGGGTTAGGGGTTTAGGGTTTAGGGTTTAGGGTTTAGGGTTTAGGGTTTAGGGTTTAGGGTTTAGGGTTTAGGGTTTAGGGTTTAGGGTTTAGGGTTTAGGTCTCGCGTGGGCAAGAAGCTCCACAGCGGGGTTACGCAGGGCTCTCTTTTCCACCAAGCAGGAACAACACAACAAACAACAAGACACGTTCTGATAGGAGTCTGTGTCCTATGACGTCTTTAATAGTACTGTACACTATACATGATGATTTCTTAAAAAGACACTCTGCTTGTGGCTTGGGCTCCTGTAGACCTAAGCCGACATGTTGCAGACATGGTAATCAAACTGGCTTCTTACTCACTCGCGCTCCCCCTTAATGACGCGTCACCAACTGTATGATGGGAGGCAAAGAGCGTCATCATTTGAAGTCTCTCGAAACGGCTTTCACTGCATCCTGCGGCGCCGGATGCTTTTCCGGAATGGTTCATGTGTTGCCTCTTGGAAGCAAAATGCTCCGTTGAAGATGGACTCGGCATGCTCCACTCCGGCCTGGGGTGTGTCCCCGGCATAGAGGAAGCAAAAGTCCACACACACTTCATATTGGACCTGGCAGCAAAAGGTTCACATCAACCTCCAGCTCTGTGCGTCCACGCCATTGATGCTCACGATGAAGTCCTCGGGCGCCGCATTTCCCTCTCATAGTTGGCTGCAGCGTGGGGGCGGGCCAGCCTACCCTGAGGACGTAGGGTGGAACAGGTGGGAAGCCGAGCCGTAGGGGCCTCGCTTGAAACAGGACCTCTAGGCCGGGCGTCTACTAGAGCTCTTAGCATAGGCTCAGGCGGGTTCGCGTGTGCGATTGCTGGGCCTGGCACAAACACCTGAACTTCATCATCAGCAAAGGCAAATGCGATAGGGCGGCCTCGAGGCTCTACATCATGCGCCTGCTGCGCTACTTTCGGGGACCTTCGCCTGGAGGCCTCATCAAGATCTGGGCCTTCACACTCATCTTCGGGCTGTTCAGGAATGAAAAGCTCTACAGTTTCTGGGGCTTGGCGTCTCGGCCTGAGGAGATCCTCGGCTTGACGAAACACTGCCCTCAAACAAGCCTTAAGTGCTTCCCAAAGAGCAATGGACGCGATTGAGATTTGCAGCAAAACACAGAGCAAAAACGACCACTCTTTACTGCTACGAACCCTGTCCTGGTCCTCAGCCGCAATAGCTAAGCAAAGACAGACTGTCAGTATCACTGTCCTGGGGCATTCATGAGCACGTCGTACTTGAACAACCTTAGTCGCGGACACAGGCTGGTCCTTGGTGAGGGACAGGCACTTAGTGACTACTGTTTGCTGCCACACTTCGAAGTTGTGAAGAAATTGCCAGCTCGGTATGATCTTTGTCTGCAGCACCTGCTCCAGCGTGCCCTCTTGGACTGCGTCCTCATCAAGAATTTCCGGACAGGATGTTTCGCACACGCAGACTACAACCGAACTCTCGCCACGCAAGCTCAAGGCACACAACTCACACTCTAGCTCTTCGCGCTTCACAAGCAACTCAGAAAGGATGGTGCCCTCGCAGGCCTCATTGTCACACGCTCTGACTGGCGCGTCTTCAAGGTTCTTTGGCCAAAAAACGTCGAAAAACAACTGCGCATCGAGCTCAACAAAGTGAGCTTTACAACTCTCAAGCACCGCAGCACCGCCACACGGCTCGTTCAACGACAAGTCTGGCACGGCACGCAACACAAGCTCAAACAGCGCCTCCGCAAACGTTGCAACCGAGCACGCACTGTCAAGCTTCACAAGCAACTTGCTGCAAACAACACAGTCACGCTCACAGCAACTACGGGCACAAGCGACGGCCTGCTCTTGAGCAACAGGACTTACGTCTCGACTGTCAACAATTTTTGGGTTCAGGATTATGCCATTTTTAGGGTTTTGGGCTTTTGAGGAACTGCCACCGGGGTGGCTCCCCCCTCCTTTACAGCAGTGTCAAGTGTTGTGGCAACTTCGGCCAGCAGCTTCACGCACACAAGGAAAACACGCAAGCAATGGCAACCAAGAAAGTCCAGCTCCTTAGGAGCGCACGCAAGCAACTCACAACAAGCATGTTTATGGTTTTGGGTTTTCTGTTTTGCTTTTTGTTTTTTGTTTCCGATTTGGGGTACCTCCCCCTTGCTGCTTAGCAGCAAACGCCAACAGAGCAACACAGCGGACATGCGCCACACACCTTTTCAGATCACAAAAGAAAGCCACGATACTGACCGTCAACCACAAGAAGGCCACAAGCGAACAACAAGCCGGCCGATTTGCCCTCGGCACGCAAAAGAGCGCAACGGATTGATGATACAGACAAACCACGACGCACCAACACGAAAGTGCTAGCGCCACCAGCTTCAGAAAAACTGCGCAGCGTCCACGATCATGCTCTTTCTGATGAAACACTTCATTGCGAGCCGCACGGGGCCAGCATTGAGACTTCTCTCCACTCGGGTCCCACCCCGTCATCTCATTATCGCGACGCGGGTGCCCCGGTGGCTCATTGTCTCCATTATCCCCTCTAGCAGCTTCCACGCTGCACTCAAGGACAATGCCACACCCTCGCCCTTCGTCAACTGGTCCGCCCGCGTCTTCAGCAACACGCCTAGCCCCCGACGAAGCCGAAAATTTATACCACATCTGACTCCAGCACGTCCAACCCACGACGAAAACGACATCGCCGCAACAAGGAGTGGACATTCCAGGCACCACAAAAGCAATCTGACCGGCACCTAGTTGATTACACGGCCTCTCCCCCGAACTCAGTTCTGGGGGCTCATTATCCTTCGCCCTCGGCCCTGAGAGCTTCTCAATCTTAGAGTCCAAACCTACTCCGGCCGGGATTTGTTGACAGGTTTGGGATTGTAATGAAGGACGGCCACTTAAACGCACTCTCAACCACAAGCTCTCAAACTCAAGCTTCAAGGACTCGAGCTCGTCCGCACTCTGATTCGGCACTCTCGCTGTTTCAACACACAGCGTCAACTTGCAAACCTTGTGAGGATGGTTTCGCTCAAACTCCTCAGCAAGATCACTCAAGACGTCGCTCTCAGACGGCGACTCAAACGTTTTGATGTTGCGTGGGCTCTCGGCCTGGGGACTTCCCCGGCTTGCTTCGAGAGCCTCGGCCACGTCTCCCAACAACTCTTGAGGTGTTTTTACTTTCGGGGCCGCCGAATCAGCCACGTCGCTGAAAAACCCTTCCGGCGGTCTTGGTTTTAGGTCCGCCCAAAGACCTCCTTCAACACTGCCCCCACCAACATCCAAGAGCTTTGACGCCTCCTGCGCACCTGACGTCCTGACAGGTTGGTGCGACCTTTCACGGCTTTCATTCCGATTCCCAGGCTCTTGGTTTGGTTTGGGTTCCTTGCGGGAGCGACGGGAACAAAGGGTGACCTAGCCCTGGGGTTCAAAACCTCAGCTACGGACATGGCCTTTTTTCTAGTTTCAATCCTTCGGGCGTGATTTGCCAGGCGTACTGTGACCCTTCGAGCTCGACCACACCCGCACTCGGAGCCTGGGCCTGGGCCTGGGCCTCAGTTGGCGGTCCCATTTGGCTCATTTCCCCACCAGGTCCCGTCCCAGTTTCCTCAAGGTTAGCTGGCTTGCCTGTCACAGCTGGTCTGCCAACGAACTGAGGAGGAAACACAGCCCTCGGACGTGGTTCAGGGATACTGGAGGTTGCACCTGCAGACGACGACGATGCCTTGGAGCTCGCCAGCTTCTCGATTCGCTCTACCAAAGACTGCTGGTCTTGCATCAGTACGCGTAGCATTGGATCTGTAGCCTCAAGCTGTACTGGAACCAGTTCACGATCATCTTCCGCTTTGACAGCTCCGCATTCCATGGCCGAAAACTCGCTGTAGCCTGCAACACTATGATGTGCAGGCGATGCTTCTCTGGCAACTTGTGCCTCCGGTTCCTGTGGCTGTGTCGCCAGCGCAACAGGGTCAATACGAAGTACTTCTGCAGGACACGAAGCAAGTTCATAGGGCACATTGTCCCTCGCCGTACTTGCTCCGGCCTCAGGAGTTTCCTGGGCTTGAGGTCCAAACTCATATGGCGGTTCACGTTCAGATTCATCGCCTTCTCTTGTAGCTGCACCTCTTTCCCCAGGGTCCTCCTGCACCATCTGTTGTGCACGACGAAATTCCTGCTGTACCGCATCTGACCAAAACGGATTCGGGAAGCTTGCCATGGCAAGGTCTACTCTTCTACGGAGCCCTTTTACTTAGCGTTGGGCTCATAACCCTCGCGTGGGCAAGAAGCTCCACAGCGGGGTTACGCAGGGCTCTCTTTTCCACCAAGCAGGAACAACACAACAAACAACAAGACACGTTCTGATAGGAGTCTGTGTCCTATGACGTCTTTAATAGTACTGCACACTATACATGATGATTTCTTAAAAAGACACTCTGCTTGTGGCTTGGGCTCCTGTAGACCTAAGCCGACATGTTGCAGACATGGCAATCAAACTGGCTTCTTACTCACTCGCGTGGGTTTAGGGTTTGGGGTTTGGGGTTCAGGGTTCAAGGTTCAAGGTTCAGGGTTGAGGGGGTTGAGTGAGTTCTAGAGCCTACTACACTCATTCACAGGGTTACAGTACCGTTTCCGGACGCGACACTCTGGGAGCTGCTGGTGCCTCGTCCAGGATCAGGTAGCGCACCTGAAACTGAAACACAATCACCCCGGGCGCCAAACCCTAAACCCTAAACCCTAAACCCTAAACCCTAAACCCTAAACCCTAAACCCTAAACCCTAAACCCTAAACCCTAAACCCTAAACCCTAAACCCTAAACCCTAAACCCTAAACCCTAATCTTGTCTTGCAGCTCCGAGAATACTCTAAGGCCACTGGGGGTGCGGCATTGGTCATGCTAATGACGCCACGCTCGAGGAAATCCTCACGGCAGGATTTTCTGGTCAACCCTAAGCTCTGAAGGGTTTAGGGTTTAGGGTTTAGGGTTTAGGGTTTAGGGTTTAGGGTTTAGGGTTTAGGGTTTAGGGTTTAGGGTTTAGGGTTTAGGGTTTAGGGTTTAGGGTTTAGGGTTTAGGGTTTAGGGTTTAGGGTTTAGGGTCTCCTGTGACCCATAATAAGAATGTTATTGTATTTTGCGACTAGAGAACTTTGGGGTTTGCTAGGGCGGACCCCGACTTTTTGGACATCCCCATGTACCTATGTGGGGGGTTGCACCTTTTGCGCATTTGATGGCAAGCCTTCCTGAATTCAAGCTTGGGACTGCAAAATGGACACGTGCCGAACATTACAATACGTTGAGATCCCCCTTATACTAACAGTCCTTGGTAGGGATTCTAGCACCCCCGGTCATATTCCCTAGTAGGGACTGTTAAGGGGGAACATCCCAAGACTCTATGCTTAAATACGGTGCGGAAGGGACTTTATCTTGCCATCCCTTTTGGAACAGGAAGGTCTTCTGTCAAACTGTAGACACTCAACGGAGGGCTCGAAAATCCGAACATCTAAATACTGCCCAGAGAGGATGCTCAGGGTTCAGGGTTTAGGGTTCGGGGTTGAGGGTTTAGGGTTTAGGGTTTAGGGTTTAGGGTTTTTCACGCCCGTTTTTTTTTTTTGGCCGTCAAGCCTTAGCATATGTGCAGAAGTGGATCCTCGAGACGGCCAGGCGTGCAGATGACAATCTCGGCTCCCTCTGCCAGAGCCTGCCATTCAAGGGACTGAAGGAGAGACCCTGATAAGGGTTTAGGGTTTAGGGCTTAGGGTTTAGGGTTTAGGGTTTAGGGTTTGGGGTTTTGGGTTTTGGGTGTTGGGGGATATACTTACGTATATAGAGACTTTATCAGGTATGTATAGCTTATATCGCGGAATAAAATTAAGAACCCCTTGTAGGGGTTGCCCCTGAAGGCATGCTCCCACTTCACCCAGATGACCCTAGGGGGCATAAGAAGGGGCCATGTGGTTGGGATCTTCCCCCTTAGACTAACAGTCCTTAATAGGGATTAAAGTACCGAAACCCTAAACCCTAAACCCTAAACCCTAACCCCTAAACCCTAAACCCCAAACCCTAAACCCTAAACCTTCAACCCTAAACCCTAAACCTCCTACATAACTGTTTCAGAGATGGCCCTGCATGAACCCCAAACCCTAAGCCCTAAACCCTAAACCACAAACCCTAAACACTAAACCCTAAACCCTAAACCCTGAACCCTAAACCCTAGACCCTAAACCCTAAACCCCAAACCCCAGACCCTAGTCCTCAGGCAATGAAGAGTCCCTGCCTTCAGCTGCGGCAGTGCATCTGCGCCACCGTAGATGGCAACAGCACGGGCAACGGTCCTTCACAGCATTGGTGAGGGGTTTAAGGCTTAGGGTTTAGGGTTTAGGGTTTTGGGTTTTGGGTTCAGGGTTCAGGGTTCAGGGTTCAGGGTTCAGGTTTTAGGGTTTAGGGTTTAGGGTTCAGGGTTCAGGGTTCAGGGTTCAGGGTTCAGGGTTCAGGGTTCAGGGTTTAGGGTTTAGGGTTTAGGGTTTAGGGTTTAGGGTTTATGGTTTAGGGTTTAGGGTTTAGGGTTTAGGGTTTAGGGTTTAGGGTTTAGGGTTTAGGGTTTAGGGTTTAGGGTTTAGGGTTTAGGGTTTAGGGTTTAGGTTTTAGGGTTTAGGGTTTAGGGCTGAGTGCCATGCCAACACACAAAAGGAGCCGGTCCTGAAACAAAGCTTGCGGGCTTCCAGCGTGATCTGCTGGCACAGCTCCCGGGTTGGAGCCAAGACCACCCTGCAGAACAGGTCGCAACAGCCCGTCGAGAAACTGAAGCTGAAGTGGTAGTTTCCCCAAATTCGGGGTACCTTCTTGGGGTCCACATTTTCAGGGAATCCTAACTAGTTATTTGGGGGGTTGAACGATTAGAGGCCCCAACTATTGTTCGCAAACCCCGACCTGCTCTCATCGGTGCGCAGACAGCCTCCCAACCCCTCATGTCAACAGCAGTTGGAGGTTCAGGGTACTTAGTAACCCAATCATCAGTGTAGTTTTACCCACTTAAAAGCCCCTTAAGTGCCCTAAGAGGTTTAATTAAGGCTGGGCTATACGTGCAGCTATGATTGGCTTTCGAAGCCATGAACCTCCAAGTAAGGTTCCAACGCACCTTTTTTCACACTGTCGTAGAGATCTGGGGACGTGTTTGTGCCTTCGCACAGACAGATACAGGAAGTGCCCAGAGCCATTGCTCGGACAGAAAATCGAGGAAAGAGTCAGGGACGGCTTCGGAACAACTGGCCGGACCAGTTACCTGCGACCATGAAATACCATGATCAAGGCCATCCGAAAACTGCCACGCCCAGGCCGTGGCCTCACGCGGACAGTGCAGCCACGACGGCCGTCACGGAGCCCAGCACCTGCATGCCGGTGGCAGACGAGGTAGAGGCAGTGCCACCTGTGGTGGTGGTGGCGTTCATGCACATCGGCACCTGCGACCAAGCGACCTCGTCCATCGTCTTGTTCATCGAATCTGCGTAGGACTGCACGTTGATGCACTGTCCTACGTTGGGCTGGAAAGGGGTGCTGGTGTTGTCCGCCAAGTCCGTGCACTGAACAGTGATGCTGGACACATCACAGGTTTTGCCCTCGGCAGGCACCACTGTGCAGGTGAAGTTGGATGCCTCACATCCATTGGCCGAAGCGCAGCCGATGGTTGTGCCCTCGGAGCAGCTGAAGTCAGCGTTGCTCGGCACCATCAGCTGCCAGCCCCACGCTGCACGCGAGGCCGTCAGGAAGGACAAGCCCGTGAAGGCCTGGAACACTGCAGCACCCGCAACTGCCGCCACTGCCTTACCGAAGGCCATGCTGATTGCTGACTGGCGGCTTCGCAAAGTGCAGTTGCTATATTTGCTATGTCACTCCTGCGTGGCTTTGAACCAAGAGCCGCGTCGAAGCAGTAGGCTGTGATTGCAATTTACTCGCTTCATCCGTGCGTATGTACGTATGCAGGTACAAATGAAATACATCCTCAACCGAAAAAGCTAACTCCCAACCGCAGACATGGAAAGACAAGATGTGCTACGAAGAAGAAGAGTTTAGGGTTTAGGGTTTAGGGTTCAGGGCTTAAGGCTTAGGGTTTAGCATTTAGGGTTAGGGCATAGGCTTTAGGCTTTTGGCTTTCGGCTTTAGGGTTTAGGGTTTGGTTTGGGGTTTAGGGTTTAAGGTTTAGGGTTTAGGGTTTAAGGTTTCGAGGCTCTAGATGCAGCTTGCTTTGCGCCCTGCCGCGGAGGTCGACGTGGAGGTTTGGGTACTTGCAAGTAGGTTTCGAAGAAGGGCAACTAGAACCTTATCTAGCGTACCGATAACCCTACTGATACATACCTGTGAATCCCGTGAACCTTTAAGTAGGTTTAGGCCCTACTTAAACACTGAGTTCTGAACCCTGAACCCTGAACCTGAACCCTAAACCCTGAACCCTGAACCCTGAACCCTGAACCCTGAACCCTGAATCCTGAACCCTGAACCCCAAACCTTGAAAGCCGCGAGAATCTGAGTACCGGGCGCCGTGGGGCGAATGGGACCTTCTTCCAGCTGGTGCGCGCCAGCAACCAAGGTCTCTGCCTTGATCTGCATAAGGGTTTAGGGTTTAGGGTTTAGGCTTAACTTAGGTTTTTGTCTAGACCAAATCGCTGCAAGTCTGTTGCGAGATGTACTTGTCACTTGCCACTGCCTGCGATAAGTCCCGCCTGTGCTGAGTATTTGGGCTAAACTACCCTAAACCCTATTCTATGCCCACACCGTTGCCATAACCCTAAGCCCTCAACCCTATACCCTGAACCCTAAACCCTAAACCCTAAACCCTAAACCCTAAACCCTAGCTTCCGCTAGCCTGCGCCCCAGGAGCATGAGTTCCTTGCAAGACTCGGATCCTTGGTGGCGGGCAATCAGCGGAATCAGAAAAGCCGCCGTCTTGCCACTGCCTGTCTGAGCAGCAACCTGAGCGGCTGCTGGATGTGAGCCCCAATCTCCATGCTTATCGGTTTAGGGTTTAGGGTTTAGGGTTTAGGGTTTACGGTTTAGGGTTTAGGGTTTAGGGTTTAGGGTTCAGGGTTTAGGGGTTAGGGTTTAGGGCTTGCGTTTGTTTACTATTTTTTCGTGTCGAAGCCCTCGTTGTGAAAGCTACGACAAGCTACGTCAAGGCAGCAGCTACTCTTAGCTTTGGAGTAGACCCTGGAAAAAAGAATATACACTTTTTAGGTATAAGTAGCTATAATAGGAACCCAGAACCAAAAAAATATTAAAGTATAGTACTCCAAAACCCAGTACTATCATGACTTCCATTTGCTGCGGCGGCCGCTGCTGAGAGAGGCCGATGTGATGGCTTGATTCTGCTGGCGTGGGCGCCCCCAAAACCCGAAGCCCTGAACCCTAAACCCTAAACCCTAGACCCTAAACCCTAAACCCTAAACCCCAAACCCTAAACCCTCTCCATCTGGAGTGCTGCCACAGGTACCATCACGTCATTGCCCGCCAGCGCCGCCGGGACAGCATGCTTCTGAGCCTCTGGACCGGAAGCAACGAACATAGGGCTGGGTTTAGGGTTTAGGGTTTAGGGTCTAGGGTCTAGGGTTTAGGGTTTAGGGTTTAGGGTTCAGGGTTTAGGGTTTAGGGTTTAGGCTTTAGGGTTAAGGGTTTAGGGTTTAGGGTTTGGGGTTTGGGGTTTGGGGTTTGGGGTTTGGGGTTTGGGGTTTAGGGTTTAGGGTTTAGGGATTTGGGGTTTGGGGTTTGGGGTTCTGAGGTGATGTCACATGTCGCTTCCTCGCAGGGCGTGGCTGCTTGCTACTTATTCACCACTTGTAACTGTATATATAACCTACTTGTAAGCCCCCTAAGTGCCCTAGTACAGTTATAAGCGCAGTTATGATTGGTTAATAAGTATCATGAACCTCCAAGCACAGTGGTGGCAGGCTAGGCCTGCGGCTGGTGTTGGTGTGTCATACCTCTGTTGCACATGGGGTTTCCGAAAATCGGGGTACCTTCTTGGGGTCCTTATTACTTGCGGGTCTGTGTTAGGGGCTCCCAAGTATTTTCGTTAACTTCCACGTGGAAACTGCTGAAGCTTCTTCCAGGCAGGAGAGCTACTCGTTTCGAAAAAAACACCGTCGATGCCCTCGCTCGCGCCCCTGAGAGATGACACATATCGGGAGCCCTTTTCAAGCCTCAACCCCCAAACCCTCAACCCTCAACCCTAAACCCTCAACCCTCAACCCTAAACCCTAAACCCTAAACCCTAAACCCTAAACCCCAAACCCTAAACCCTAACCCTAAACCCCCTCAACACACCCCAAAGCTTGATCTGCAACTACCCCCACCTGCACTGAGCTGAGCAGAATGCCTGCACCGAACCAGGATGTTATCCACCAGCTCCTGGGCCGGTTTAGGGTTTAGGGTTTAGGGTTTAGGGTTTAGGGTTTAGGGTTTAGGGTTTAGGGTTTAGGGTTTAGGGTTTAGGGTTTAGGGTTTAGGGTTTAGGGTTTAGGGTTTAGGGTTTAGGGTTTAGAGGGTTTAGGGTTTAGGGTTTAGGGTTTAGGGTTTAGGGTTTAGGGTTTAGGGTTTAGGGTTTAGGGTTTAGGGTTTAGGGTTTAGGGTTTAGGGTTTAGGGTTTAGGGTTTAGGCTAGGGTTTAGGGTTTAGGGTTTATGGGTCTAGACGGATCTGGGTTCAGATGGGTTTAGCTGGGCTTACTGTAGATGGGTTTTAGGGTTTAGATGGGGTTGCGATGGGTAGAGATGGGTATAGATGGGTTTTAGGATTTTGTTGATGAGGAGCTTTGGAATGTGTATGTGTGGCAAAGGCCCAAGAGAGGTACGAAGTACATGAGGGCAGCAACACTTAGGCCACTTCCATAGAGGGGCTCATGAACCGTAAGCTGTAGCTTGCATTGCTCGTTTGAAGGAAGCTGAAAAGATTCGCATTGCCATGGTTTTTCCGTGACTGCATCGATTCTTGTGGGGCATGACATCGGATCCAGCTCGGCATGATCGGAGGGCACAGCCTGGGGGTGCTTTGCACCAACAGGTTATGAGCCCAAGGGCTCCTGGGGCACGACCTGATGTTCGACTTCCTGGTGAATCTGCAGGACCGAACTATGCTGGATTGTTTCAGAATGCTCAATCGCAGTTGCCTAATGGGACTGAACGAGCCAGCCATGCTCTACATGAAGGATATGGCTCTGTTCCAAGGAGTGGTTTTTCTGGACCACATGTGGTGCAGGTTGCTGAAGGTGGTTCTATGGGAGAGGCAGTGGAGCAACGACAACCGGATCGGATGAATGCTGCTGCGTCGCCGCAAGCCGGACCGGAATCGTCGCACGAGCGTACGTTGCAAACACGAACGAGTGTTCACCCTCCCCAACCCCTACATGAGCAACATTCTCAGCAGCAGCAAGCACCAGCAGGAATGACTTCGGTGGCTGCATCTCAAGCACCAGCAGGAATGACTTCGGTGGCTGCATCTCAAGTACCAGCAGGAATGACTTCGGTGGCTGCATCTCAAGTACCAACAGGAATGACTTCGGTGGCTACGTCTCAGGCTCCAGCAGGAGTGACATCGGTGCCTGTATCACAGGTGACTGCAAGTTTGACTTCGGCCACGACGCAACGGGATCCTGGAGGGTCTATGTCAGTTGCAGCTACGGGTCAAGAAGCTGCAGTTCGTGATGGTCAGTCGACAAGGTCAAGGCTCCCGCAGCCTATGCAACAAGCGGTGCAACAGTTGGCTCAGCAGAGAACGGTGATGTTTCAAGCTGTGCAAGAGCGAGCCCAACGTGCACTACAGTCTTTTCCAGGTGCTGAAGCCCAGGATATGCCGAATCCTTTTACCCCCACGACACCCCCGCCGAACCTTGCACCTGCTGAACAGGCTCCTGATCGGGAAGATCGTCCTCGGTGGGTTTTCATGGAGATGTTCCATAGGAGAGTGGTTTCCCCGGTGATGGAGCACATGAACGCGGGTGGTGGAAGTCAATCATTACAGTCCCCATGGCAGAGTCCTCAACCGGAGCCTTCGCCTACCTACACTCCATTGATGTCTCCCGAGCTGAGGCAACAGATGAGTGTGTGGACCCATCAACCAAGCTTGTTGACTACTCCGAATCATCCAAGAGCAGTTCGTGATGACAGCTCCAGCGGTAGCTTGCCGCAGGAAGTGATAATGGAGGAGGTTCGAAAGCAAGTTCAAATGGCGATGCAGGCAAGGGATGAGGAGGTTGCTGGTCTGAAAAGACAAAACGAGCAGTTGCAGAAGGCCCTACAGGAGTCGGCAGAGATGGTTAGCGATCTGGTCCAAAGTGGTGGAATGTGTGCTGGAGAGCTGCGAGCCCAAGCCGAGGGTGAGGTTCAGAAGCCTCAGACCTTGGCTGGGAGTGTCTCTGGTGCTGCGACATTCGGTGCACCGTCTAAAGATGGGCGAGGTCGTGTACTTGGTGGTGATCTTCCTGGTGATGACGGGGCTAGCAAACGAGCCGGTTCACAGAGTACCAAGGGAGAGCCTTCAAGTTCTGCAGCGGGTCTTAGGGGAACTTTGGGAGGATTGCCTGCTCGTGTTCAATCTGGTGGGCAAGGACCTAGCCCCTCGGAAACCGGCTGTGGACAAATGGCTGGTGACAGCTCAACGTTGGAGTCTGATGATTCTCTTCGTCTACTTGTTCAGGGGATGCGCCAGCTTCAGCAGGTCTACCTGAACAAGAAGGATGCTCCGGAGGCTGAGGCTGTGAAGGGTGGTGTGGAGTTGCAACCTATGCCCCCGGTGACCAGCGACTCGGCGGTGGAGTTTGCGGATTGGCTGTATATGGCGGAGCAGACTAT